GCAAACTTTTTTCCCCAAACAAGATCATTAGAAGAAAGATATAGCTCTGAATGCTTTGTTGAAACCCCTCAAACTTTTGCTACCTAATGTGCCTATCAAAACAATATAAAGCACACTTTGTAAACTAAGTTCAAAGCTTGTGCCGATGTTCTTATCAGTACCGAAACTAAATATGAAGAAGGTAGTTGGATAGATAGTGAATAGACAAATATAGATAACTGGCCGCACGCTTGAGGTTGAAATATCTTCTAGTATAGAATTGATGACTCAATTTGGCAATCTAATCTGCTAGGTACCTCCAACATGATGAAGTTTGATTTCAAAAATAATCTCAAGAAATTCGATACGAACCATTTTTCTGCGAGAATTTGGTATTGGCTTAATGCGATGATGCAATAGCATGGTCCGAATGAGCAAACAGAAAGTATTGAGAAACTTCTGGAAACAAATTCGAAGAGCACAATGAAATAAACTCGAAGAATTGAGAGATACACAATCCAAGCTTTAGTGGAATTACATTTTGACTAGTATAAGCCCCCAAAGAACCACATCGACTTTCAATTTTTGTTCCAGAATGTTTTTTTTCTCGAAAATTCCAGTGCAAGAAGCTTCGATCTTTGAACTGCTAAACCAAGCAAAGTAGAACTCCTTATCATTAATGGGGTAAATGTTCAGTTTCTGGATTGAAGGTAAGACTTATGAAATATGAGAAAGGGACTAAAAATCAAATTAGCCTTGTAAAAAAATTTTTGGAAGCGTGGCTGACGCCACGTCCCCTTTTTCCAGATTTTAGGGGCTGGGGACCCGCAAAATTTTTTCGTCACTATTGACGATTGCTGCACAAATGCGCTATTATTTCTTTCTGCGTCAAGTGATTCAGACTTTGTCGCACTGACTTTACTGTGAAGTTGGCACAAATATTTATAGAATGTGTCAGACACAGAAAAACAGGACTATGTAAGAGAATGGCAGCGAAAGAGTGACTCGATATTTTTTAGTGTTAAGACCTAGACGCATTTGTTGAATTTTCGATTTTGCAGAGTACTCTGCGTTGATACCACTGCTT